TATAAGGGTAATAATGCTCATATTCTATGGGTGTAATGTGAGTCTATCAAGCCAATGGCTTTCAGTACGAGGAATTACTTTTACAATCATCGCAACTATACCCAATTCAGATCCAATCTCATCTCTGAGAATATCGACAAAAAAATAAAGTATAAGAGGCTCAGAGTTTTGCATAATGTGCTCAAAGAAGAGTTTATCAAGCTCTTCTCATACAAGAGGTGTCAGAAATATTAAGCATTATTCATCATCGCCAAAAACCAATAATTTCGATATCAGAAACACACAAAAGACTAAAGAGAAACCGAAAATAATCTAACGAGAAAGAGATTATGTGCTCAAACAATCTATAAATCGAAAACAATCAAACAGATCTTAAATCGAAAAGAAATTAGCGAGAACGAGAACCCTAAAAGCGGCGGAGAAATGATAGAGAAGAATTAGGGTTTTTGTTTTGGTCAATGATGGAGATGATGTTGCAACCCCGAACGCTATTTATAGATTATAGATAATGGGCTTTTTTCGGCCGATTCGTAATGGGCTTATTCAAGAGAAAAGCCCATTTATTTGTTTTTTTAATCTCGTGACGGTCTCTCTCATTAGCGAGAGAGGTTACGTAATTAGGTTATTTGCATAAAATTTAATGAGCCTATTGGGCCTAAAAAATGAAACTACATAAACATAACAGAACTCAAAAGATAGTTCGTTGCTGCATAAACTAGTCTCAGGTTCTTCAACTACATTAACTAAGACGCAGGAACACTAATCTTGCTTACCTTGTCCAGCAAGTTTCTAGATTCATCTTCAAGTTTGATCTTCAATTCTTCTGTAATCACTCCTTCTGATTGATCCAGCAATGATCTCATCTCTTCAAGCTTCTCTTTCAAAAACTCGATTTCCATTACGCCTTTTCTGGTTTCGGTTTCATTCTTCTCATTAGGGTTTTCTAGTGAATCAGAAGAAAGATACTTAAGCTTGAATGTAACTCTGGAAGTAGTAGTAACAAATGGACATTCTTCTAACGACTTGTAAAACGCTTCTTCTCCATCAGATACATTCGAGAAGACAATGTTTGCGCAAGAGTTGTTGTTGAACATATAGCTTCTCTCTTTGTCCAAAGCTCCAAACTTTTTGTATGTTTGAATCAAATCATCTTTTGAAGGAAGAGTAGAACCAAGATCAGTTGTAATAAACAGCTCAACACCTGAAATTTGCTTCTCAGATTCTTCTCTCTTGTTCTTCAACACTGTCTCACTCGGTTCATTTCCAGTTTGCTCTTTCTCATCCACCTCTTGCTGCTTCATTTCATCTGAAATGTCTCTCTTGTTATAGTCCCCACCATTGTATGCAAAGCTTCGATAATTGGACACAAACTCTTTTATCATGTCACACGAGCTATTATAGTCTTTTAAATACTGCATACCAAGAGCAGCTGCGCGGATCAGATCCAGCATTTCCTCTGGTGTGGTAGTTCCCAATCTCGCAAAATCGATGGCTTTTTCAGGAGAATTCTTCGTCATTCGCTCTGCTGCTCGGATCTGGCTTGATTCAGATTCTATCTTACTCTTTCTCGCTCTCAAACTAAAATCTGTAAGGTATTCAGGAGAAAGATACTTGCTTTTCTTCCTCTCTCTTTTACCTGTTTGCAAGATGGTCTCACCATTTCCATTGTTACTTTCAACACTTGGAGAAACATCAACCTTGACCCTTTTGCAGAGTGAAACCAATGGAGTTGATAACTCAACAACTCTTTCCATACCAGAAGAATCCTCTTTCTTCTCACTCGCTTCTAAATGGTTTGAGTCGTTTGACTCTTCTCTTTTCTCAATCCCATTATCATCATCCAAAAACCTTTTGTTCTTCCTCTTCCTCGGCGACAAAACCCTTTCCTGATTCTTCCCATTACTAGCTTCTTCCATTTGCTTGAGACAAGCGTTTTCAATCTTAGAGATTTCACTCACTCTTCTCCTCAAAGTAGTCGAACCCGTCGTTGCTACATCACCAAGATTAGCATCATCACTACACTTTCTCTTTTTCCTAGCAGAATCTGAACACCTTTTCAATGATCTCTGGCATGAAGACTTGTCAAAACTCAGCGAATCTTCATCCTCTTTGTGTTCAAGTCCGATGATGTATCCATACTCATCGTACTTAGCTAAATCAAACCGTCCTTTAGACCGATAAAAGGCCGATATTTTCCTCTTCAAAACCTCAATCTCTAGCAAATCATTAAACCTAACAGTCTTTGCAAGGCTTTTAACATCTCCAAGAAATATTCCAGATTTTTCAAGAACCAAAGACAACACAACCTCTCTTCTAACATCAGGCACAACAACACCTTCCTTTATTCCAGAATTCACAACTAAAGGACTAACCAAAGCTTCTTCATCACAAACCAACAAACGCTCAACGCGTTCACCAATCTCTCCAACAGCTTCTTTCACAGCTCTGAGAAAGCTTGTGGAATCGCTAATCTTCGAAAACTCTTTGAAATTCTCAAGAAACGGTTTCAACTGCGACGGATTGCACCAATCAAAGTCCCCATTCCCGAAATACGCCACGAGTAATTTACCATTGTGCATATTCTTCAAAGCCAAGTCTGAAGCATCTGAAGAATCATAAATTTTCCCAGGCCACCATTGATGACAACTGTTGACTTGTTCTACCCACACAAAGTCTCCAACATGAAACCCATTCTCTTCTTCTTGCTTCATGTTCAGCAACGAAGAAGCTCCTTCACTCATAAAACAATCTTCCATTGGTCCAGAGTCATTAACAATATCCATCAACTTTTCATCAGCACCATCTTTCAAATCACCCAAAACAGCTCGCTCTCCGTTTTCAGAAACCCTAGAACCTGTCGTTACAAAATTTCCCATCGAACCAGAAGATTCTTCTCCTTTCTCACAACACAACCTAGACTACAAGAAAAACCAAACTAAACATTCAGACAAAGGACAATTAACAATAACCAAACATACCTAAGTAAAAAAGGTGGGTTTTTTCACGAGAAAACACACAAATTTTACACATTGGGAAGAATAAAGAAGAAAAGGGTTTAAATTTACCT